TATTCTATATATATATATGTGTGTGTTATATGTATGTATATAATGTGTGTGTGCGTGTGTGTGAGTGTGTATTCCCCTTTCGCTCTTTCTCTTACCCTCTATTTCTCTTCCCTTCTCTATTCCTACTTCTATCTTTCTCTTCATCTCATCCTCTCTTTTCCCCTCTCCATTCTCCCCTCTCTCTTTCATCTCCCTCTCTCTCTCTCTTTCTCTTTCCCTCATTTTCTCTCTTTCTCCCTCTCCACCCTCCTCTCTCTTTCACTCTCCCTCTTTTTTTTACCTTCCCTCTCTCTTTCTCTTTCCTCATTCTCTCTCTTTCACCCTCTCCATTCTCCTCTCCCAGTCTCTCTCTCTCGTTCTCTTTCTCTTTACCTCATTCTCTCTCTTCCCCCCTCTCCATCTCTCTCTCCCTTTCCCTCATTTTTACTCTCTCTTCCTCATTCACTCATTCACTCACTCACATACTCAATTACTCCCTCCTTCCCTCTCTCCTTGCTTCCCAGTTTCTCTCTCTCTCCATCTCCTTCTCACCTCTTCATCCTCCTTTCCTTCATCCTTCTCTTCTCACCCTTGTTTGTTATTCCTTCCCGTCTTCTCTTTATTCATCCCACCCTCTTCCGGCTATCTTTCCATTTAACTTCCCTCCTTCGCTCTATCTCTTCTCTCCTTTTCCTCCCTCCCTTCCTTCCGTCTTTCCTTCCTCCGTTCCATCTTTCCTTTCTTCCTAATTTCCTCCCTCCCTCCCTCCTACCCTCCTTTACTTCTTCCCTCCCTCTCTCCCTTACTCACTAAACCCCTCCTTTCTTCCTTCCCCCCACACTTCCCTCCCTTCATCTCACCTTCTTTTTCCCTTCCCTTCCTTCTTTCATTTCTCTCCCTCCTTTTCCCTCCCTGTACTCCCCCTATCTTTCCCTTCCCTTCCTTCTCCATTTCCCTCCCCTCAATCTTTCGCCCCTTCCCTTTCCTTTCCCCCTCCTCTCTCCTCCCTCCCCCCTACCCTTCCCTTCCTTCTCTCCATCCATCCACCCTTCTCTCCACCCACCCCTTTCTTTTTCCTTCCCTTCCTTCCTCCATTTCCCTCCCTCCTCATATCTTTACCCTTCTCCTTCCCGCCTTCCCCTTCCTCCTCCAATCTTCCTTCCCTCCCTCCCTCCAATCATCCATCCCACTCTTCCCCTTCCCTTCTGTCCTCCCTCTCCCTCTCCATCTCTCTTCCTTTTCTCCACCCTTCCCTCCCTCTATCTCCTCTCTCTCTTCTCTCCCCCTATTCTTGACTTCTTTTCCTTCCTTACTCTATTTTCCTCCCTCCACACATCCCCCCGCCTCTTCCTTTTCCTTTCGTACCTCTCTGCCTCACCTCCCTATTCCTATTCATTCATGCTCTCTCTCTCTCTCTCTCTCTCTCTCTCTCTCTCTCTCTCTCTCTCTCTCTCTCTCTCTCTCTCTCTCTCTCTCTCTCTCTCTCTTTCTCATTTTACCTCCATCCCTCTTTTCCCCTTCCCTTCCCTCCTTCTCCTTCCTCTCCTTTCCTTTCATTCCACTGACCTGTGCAAGATCCTCGTGTTCCTGTTTCACCTTCCCGCTGCCATCCTCCTTTAAGGCTTTGATAATATCGGGCGCTTTTTCCACCAAAGCCACGAGAACATCTTTCACAGCGACTGCGAATTTTAAGTATGTAGTGGCAGACATCTGGAAAATAGAAATTGATAAGTTAATAAGATACATGTGTATCTATAAATACATTAATTCTTGAAATCTACCTTTAGATACAATACAAGGTGGAAGCAGCTAGAAATATGTATATATATATGTATATATATATATATATATATATATATATATATATATATATATATATATATATATATATATATATATATATATATATATATATATATACATACATTTTCCTCCAATAAGTTTGCGAAGACCGCTCGGTACCCCTGCTTAGGCGTCCGGTACAAGTTTTTTCCTCACGTCTTCCTCGCCCTCTTTGCGGCCAGGCGAACAATACGAGATGACGTAACTTGTGTATATAATCATTGTGCATATAAACATTGACAGTTGCGGGCAACCAAAAGATAATAATAATTGCTCTTTTCAGGTG